ATAAATATTTTTTAATCTCTTATGATTTAGGTATATATGGGTGATTCAAAAAAATTTAAAATTTAAAAAAATATTTAAAACAAAGTAAATAAATTTAAAATATTAAAAAATAAAATAGAATATTTAAATTGAAAAAATAAAAAATATTTAAAATTAAATTAAAATTAAAAAATTCTTAAACATTTTTAAATATTAAAATAATAAATTTCAAAATACAATTTAAAACTCAAAATATAACTTAAACTCTTTCTAAAATTCAAAAAGAAAAATTTAATTTTTTTAAAGCTCATAACAAAATAATTTTTTCTTGTTAAAACTTAGAATATAATTTAAAACTCAAAATATAAAATATAATTCTGTATTTAAATAAAACGGAGCAAGATTTCACCAACACTCGGCTGAAATATCGAAAATGTCTCGTAGCTCGAAAGGGTCGAGCTCGAAACGGCTCGAAAATGGAAGAAGAGGGAAGAAAGAGAGGGAAGAGGAGGAGAGAGGGAGAAAGAGAGAGGAGAGGGCTCGTTGCCGATTGTTGCAGCAGACCGTCGCCTCGCCCAGCCCCGCCCAGCCCCGCCGACGTCGCAGCACCACCGTCATCTGCCCAGCCTCCCCTCCTCCTCCAACCGGTTTTTATGGCCCCCTCCCCTCCCTCCTCCTCCTCCCTTCTCTTCTTCTCCCTTCTTCTTCTTCTTCTTCTTCTTCTTCGTTCTGTAACAAAACCAGGGAAGAAAGAAAAAAAAAAAAAAAAAAAAAATTCGACACCAAAACGACGTTGTTTTGGTGTCGAACCGCGATTTCGAGCTGCGGTTTCGAGCTACGTAGCATGGTCGCTGAAATATATAGAAGAGAAAGAAGGAATAAAAAAATGAAAACAAAGAAAAAGAATGGGAGCAAAGGACAAGGAAAATAAAGGCAATGGTGATGTTGATTTGATGGTGATGGATTGGTTTGGGAAGAAGATAAAATAAATAATAACAATGATCCATCTTATTAATTTGAGAGTATTAATTGATCACTAATAAGATAAAAATTCAAAAAAAAAAAAAAAATTCTAAGACCAAAACATCACATCAATAAATGAGACTCACTCTCTAAAACTCTTTTAGAGCTCTCAAATATTTCTCAATAAATAAAGGTAAAAGAATGGAAAAGCAGACAAGTGGTCAAGGAGGCAGGCTGGCAGCCATGTGCTGTCGACCACGTTTGCTGGCAAGAAATATATTTTTTCTTTTCTTTAATACCGAAGGATGGGAAATAATAATAATAAAAATAACATGAATATAATATTAAAAATAATGAGCCGGAGGGAATCATCACTAAATTATTATAACAAATTATTAATACCTCCTATTAAAATATTTAACACTTTAAAAATAGGACAAATTACAAACACTTCTCAAGATTTAATAAAAATACAGATTCTTTCTAAGGTTTGAGAAATTATAAATTATCCTATGAGGGTTAAATTTTCATAACAAATTAAGAAAAATTAGGGAGAATCTGTATGAAAATAAAAACCTCAGGGGCAATTTGTTATGAAAATATAAACCTCAGGGGTGGGATGTAATTTCTCAAACCTCAGGAGGGAATCTATATTTTCACCAAACCTCGAAGGGGGTGTTTGTAATTTGCCCTTAAAAATATGAGATTTTACACCAATAAAATAGGATGATGGAGTATCATTGGAAGTGTCAAAATTTGAATAAAAAATCTGATCATATATACAAGTATACATGTATATATACAACAAAATATATTAGGGTTAATTATAAAAAAAACTCTAAGGTTTCACTCATTTTTTATTTTAAATATCAATATTTTTCACTTTAAACCTTAAAATTGTTTTCTATTACTTTACATAAACGGAGATGGACGGAAGGGACACATTGAAATACGGATAGAACTCCAGAATTTAATTTATCAAAATTAAAATACTAAAATTTAAAATAAAAAAGCATAAAATTTTGAGATTATTTTTGTAATTAACCATTATGCTTTTTGATGTTCACAAACATAACATCAATATGGAATGTGAAAATAGGGTAGAAGTGAATTATAATGGTGGATCTCACATGGGAAAAAGAAAGTTGTGACAAATCTATTTTGGCAACTCGGTTTAAAGTTTTTTTTTTTTTTTTAGTTTTTTTTTTATCACATCATATCTTTACTTTTTATATATATTTTTTAAAAAAGTAAAAAAAAAATTAACCTTTAAAATATTTCAAAAAAAAAAAAAATAGTGAAAAAAGCATTAAGCCTCCGTTTGGGAAGTGGGTTGACTTTTTGGCTTTTTGGCTTTTTTGACTTTTTTTGTGAGAGAGGATTGTGATGATTATGGGTTACCAAAAGAAAGAAAATTCAACAAAAACAGTAAAATAAAATAAAAAAACGTGTTTAACATATTGTCAAGTAAGTGAAGATGGTTTTTGAATTTATATAATAAGGGAAAATATAAAATGTAAAATTCAAATATAAAATGACTTAAACAGGAAAATTCAAATAATGCTTATAAAAATGAAAAATTGACTGTAAAATAATGGAAAATGGAAAATTGTCAAATAATGCTTATACAAAATAATTTATTAAATAATGCAAAATTGACTGCAGCATCAAATTTAAGGAACAAATAATTTATGAAGTAGTTATTATGGCAATGAGGCTACTGATATCAAATAGAAGACTAATTTAATCAAAGGTTCATTTGTAATTTTCCTAGCTAAGAATGTTAATGACATCTTTATCAAGTGCACTGAAAAGCCCAAACTTCGTGATTTTGAAGCCCAAACTTCGTGATTCTGAAGTAAACTACATAAAAAAAATTAAAAAAATAAAAATCTATATAAATAACAATAAAACTTGCAGACAGATGATTCTGAAGTAGTAGGTGGACTTGAGGCAGTTGACAAAGAACATCCCGAAGCTTCTGATGACTCTAATGGGGAAATGGATGATGATGCAATGTTCCGCATGGATTGCAAAATTTTTGAAAGAGCGTAAGAACCAAGCTGGGGGTGAAACTGCTCAATCCCAGCTCGTGCTCTTTAAACTTCGTGTTCTCTCATTGTTGGATATTTACCTGCATGAGAATCCAGGCAAGTCTGTTTTCGACAAAGTTCAAGTTGTGTTTTAACTCTTTGGGAAATCAATTTACTGGGCATAAATATATGTTGGCTAACACTGAGATGTTATGTGCTATATTTTCATTTATAACATCACACACATCTATTCTTTTATTAAAAGCACACATTGCAGAAGAAGAGGCTTCATCACACTTTTATCATTTTCTAAGAATGCCCTTCAAATTTAACTGTAAATTTCACATCTAGAAACTGCTCTAAACCATTTTTAAACTGTTGTAAATTGTTTTAAAATTCGACCCATCTTCAATTAGACCAAAAGTGTATAGTAATCATTTTTAAATTGTTTTAAAAATACGACAGAAACTGTAAGAGTGTCATGAAATGGGACCACGCCATAGGACATCCTTCCTAAGATATTGGCACAATAACTGAAATTCCATTAAACCCATATAACACTGCAAAACAATGAACTACAACTGTAATAAGCATGGTAACTACAACACCTAAACATATATCCAACCCTTGACATAAACCTATATTAATTTTAAATTTGAGTAAAAAATCACTGAAAACACATCTCCACTCCTTGAATCAAACTTACACCAAATTGAGTTCTAAACATTTTTTACCCAAATCAAATTTTCAACATGATTTGTAGTTTTCAAATTTACAACTCTAACATTAATCAAATAAAAGCTTTCCCTGAAATTTGGGTAAAAAATTGAGCAAGGTCTGGAGATTAGATTACCTAAGTGATAATTATGTTTATGTCTCCTATCTTATGAAAATCTCATAAACTTGGCAACATGAAAACAACAATCTCCAACTAAAATAATCTTAGAGAAGCATAATAATCTTAGGGTCTGCATATAGAAACAAAATTCTTAGACATATGCTGTATTCTCAAATCAAACAACATAGAGATTATTAGAAAACCTAAGATAAGAGAGAATATTGATGGATGAATTGAGAGTGAAAAAGAGAGGAAGCGAACCGTTGGAATTGAAGGAGAGATGTAGATCCATAATCTACTTGGAGGAGGAGGAGGAGGAGTGTTTCTTGGAAGAAGAGTAGTCGGGAGGAGAGTAGAACAGAGTAGCCACCATGGCTCCAGGAAGCATTGCATACTTTGCCAGGACTGCCAGTTTCGCCACCAGCGATTCTCCCCTCATAAACGCCATTGATGATGATTGATTGATTGATTTCGGATCGGAGGACAACCCAATTGAGAATACGACTGATGCCTCTGTTTCCACTCATTTTCTAAGAATGCCCCTCAAATTTAACTGTAAATTTCACATCTAGAAACTGCTCTAAAATATTTTTAAACTGCTGTAAATTGTTTTAAAATTCGACCCATCTTTAATTAGACCGAAAGTGTATAGCAACCATTTTTAAATTGTTTTAAAATTCAACCCATCTTCAATTCGACCCATCTTTATAAATAACAATAAAACCGAAAGTGTATAGTAATTTCATATCAATATCATGGGACTTTTATTACTCCCAAACAGACCTCTGTATTAGACCAATTTCTATACACCAAAACTTGCATCAATGTACACTGAAACAATGACATCGAACACAAACAGATAATTAATCCTATAAAATTTTACTCATCATCAATTTTGATAACAACAACAATAAAAATTGCAAAACCCAGATGAAGAAAAATCGAGATTAGCTTTTTGAACAAAACCCAAAACCTAATTGCAATTAAACATTGTATCGTTGAAGTAAAAACTCAGATCTTGCAAAGTAAAACAATCAAAATGAAATGTGGGTTCTGAGACAAAGAGAGAGGACCTCGAGCTGGGTAGATTTCATGGCGATGGGGATGTAGATGAGGAAGATACCAGCCATGGCGATGGCAGTGTTGCGCTTCCAGTGCTTGGGTTGGTTGTGATCTCACCGAAGACCATGACCATGTTGGTTGTTGTGCATGTCTCACAGGCAACTTTGCTTTCCAGATCTTGTTCTCGGCAAGCATCCAGAATTGCATCTGAGACTTGGTCACAGAGCTTGTCAGGGTGGCCTTCATTGACAGATTCTGAGGTGAAGAGGAAGGTTTCCATATCTAGACTTACGCAAATGATGAAGCTATGTGTTAGTTCCTTGTTATTAGATGTGGAATCGTTAAATTTTAAAGAATGGATTCCACATAACGTATAAATATAATGCAAAAAGGAAAGCACAATGAAAATTATACTGGTTGAAAAACACTATCTAATCCATTGACTGATCAGTAACCAACAATTATTTTAGCTCATATGCTGCTTCTAATTCAAAGGTAGCTAAAAATGGATGTAAAAAGATACACTACGAAGTGAATTCATTTCATTGTGTATTTAAATAAAAAAATAAAAAATAAAAACAAACAAACAAAATAATCCGTTATGTATCACAAAAGTCTGCAGTAATACATACCCAAAAAGACAGTCTAATTTTAACTCAAACTTATTGGATTTATAATAGCGAGAGATTCATGCCTTTCTAATTGTTAAAAGAATCTTCCAAGTAGTTGTACCGAGAATCTTGATTCGACTTCGGTGAGTCTGTTCCTTCAATTTTCTTGGCAAATGCAAGAGATTTAATTGTATAAGAAAATACCAAATTCTGTTCAATCCCATCATTCTCAAACTCACTTTGACTTTCATATCATTCTTCCATTACAGTGCTTCTTCCCTGAGAACTTAATTGCCAATGTCAAAACCCCTCTATTTATTCTCAATGCAGCCTATGATTCATGGCAGGTAATATCTTGTTTCTGTAGAGTTTGCTAAATTTAGTTCACCTGGAGTTTTACTCATGCAGCAAGACAACTGACAATGGCTTGCTTTGTGACTGCTTTTAAGCATGTTAAATGAAAAACTTGAAACATTAGGTCTCTTCATTTCGCAATTCAGGTCCAGGCCAGTTTAGCTCCTACATCAGCTGATCCTAATGGCATTTGGCGTGACTGCAAAATGAATCGCGCAAGTTGTTCAGAATCACAGATCCAGAAATTTCTGCAAGGTGGTTTCATATAATAGAAATTACTCAACTGGCATGACTATTAATAAATTTGATTAGCTTTCTTAAAAATGTAGTATAGAAATTTCATCAATTGATTAAAGATTTTGTATATTCTTTGGAGTAGACTTCAGAAATCATACCTTAGAAGGATTCTCAACGTCTGAGGAAAATGGGTTATTCATAAATTCATGTTTTGCTCACTGCCAAACAGAGAGGCAGGATACATGGTTTGCTGATGATTCACCTCTTGTTGGCAATAAGGTACAGTTGATGTGTGGTTACTATGTATTAGTTCTATTGAATATTAGTATAGATTTGTAATAAGAACCTAACAGATTCTAAGTTTGGAAAACAAAATACTTTCCATTTACAAATACTTTTCCATTTATAAAAATAGATCAGATTGTTTGAATACTAAATAAAAAAAAAAATCAAACTTTGAATACAAACTTTGAATAATGTTCGGATTAGAAAATAATGTTAGGATTAGAGAGATACAAACCAGAAATCGAGATGCAGAAATCAAACTTTGAATGAACACATTTGCTATGAATCTGTTAGGTTTGAATGAACACATTTGCTACAGAATCAAAGATCTACCAAAGAATCAAAGCACAAGAGGTACATCTCGGTTCAATTTTCAATTATTTATTAAAAAAAGTCAGCCTGTGATAAATCAAAAAGAATTTATATATTGATCATATCTACTGTTGTACTTTTGATTTTTGTGTTTGGGCAAATTGTTAACAATAAGAAAAAATTCAAATAATTATGAGGAAAATAGAAAATTTTATTGCCAAAAATGCTAATTATTTTAACCTTTGGCAATTGAACAATAATTATCCTTGTGCACTGAAAAATGATAAAAACTTTATTTATAAACTTGCTTTCAATGAGAATTTACCTAAATTCCATTTTTCCTAAATTTACCTAAATTTACCCAAATTATTTTTTCTTGAAGTTATAGCTATCAAAAACGAAGTCAAGACGGAATGGAAATGATATAAAATATACGAAATTAAGGCGATCAAATACTAAACTAATTAATCAATAACAACACCATTTCAAAAAAAAAAAAAATTATTAAAAAAAGTAAACAAATTACTAACCTGGGGCTTTTCAGTTTTTAGACATCTTGATACATCACATGTCAAGCCAGTAAGAATATGAATATATGGCAGTGGTTTTGAAATAGTTGATGTTCTGAATTACGAAAGTGCGGTTCTGTGTCCAAGTGCATGTTGGAGGAGTCGATCCATCTCCATCTCAAGAGAGGATTCAGTATGGCCGCGACCGCAATGGCCGTGAAACGCTCTGATCTGACTCGAGTTTCTTCTCCGAATCTAATGGATTTTGGTTCGATTTCCTTCGCCAAGACGGTGGTTATTCGATCCACGAACGGCATACCTGGAAAATTCATCAACAAAAGAACCAAAAACAAAACAATTAAGCCGTACCTGGAAAACCAATCGCTGCCTCTTCGATAGAGAAGAAAAGTGTGAAGAAAATGCCGTTGGTCAGGTATAGAGGGAGAGGTAAGGCATTAGAGGCTTTTGGGATGAGGAGGAGGAGGATCGGATCTGAGAGCAGATGTGTTTTAGCTAGACGTGAGAGAGAGAGAGCAAAGAGTTGTTTTGGCGAGAGATCTATTGATCTAAGCCATTGAGATGAACTTAGGATTCATCTTGGCCGTTAAAACCAAATGTATTTCAAAAGCAGTCCTCCCTTATTATATAGATATATATTGTATTTGGTTAATTTAAAAAAATCACAAAATATTATACTTTTTAAGTATATCTAGATTAGGTATATCTAAAAAATAATAAAAAATTACTTAAAATATTAAAAAAATTCAATAAAAATTATATATGAAAAATAAAAAAATTAAAATTTTTATATGAGTTAAACCAAAAAAGATGATTGTTATTTCTCTTGAAATGATATATATATATATATATATATAATATCTGCATTGTTTTATTATTTTATACTGAAAAATCTAGAAATCTCCTAGATATTTATTTGTGATTATGTATCAATTTTAAGTAGTAAATATCAATCACAATCAAACAATCAAGACAAATCAACACAACGATTTTACGTGGAAAAATCACAATTGGAGCGCCTCCAACTGTGATAAAAAAATCACGGGCAAAAGTCACAAAACAATCCACTAAGAAGATATAAATGAATTACACAAGTGTTCTCTCAATTACCTAGAGAATCCACGCCCGAATTAAACCAACCCCTATGTGCCTCTTCCAGCCCCGTCTTCACCTCGGAATTGTCTTGACGATGAGTCCCTCCAAAATCCACCAAAACTTCAGGCTCGAATTCTTCATAATCCACTGAAGAACAACTCTCTCTTTTGTGTAGAATAAACAAACAATCCTTTGATGTATACTTTTTTAAACCATGAGTTGAATACTCAATAAAAACATCAAAGAAAAGTAGCAAAATAACCCTAGATATAAACCTTAATATCCAAAAAGAAGATCAGGAAAGTAATCCTAGATTTGGATTGAAATGCATATTTATAGAAATCTGTTCTGCGATGCTCGCTCGAGCGAAGACTCCCTCGCTCGAGCGAGGAACCAAAAACACGTGTTTTCCAAAAGTGGGTTCGCTCGAGCCATGCAACCTGCACTCGAGCGCACAAACGTCCTTTTCAAGTTTTTTACAAACGCAGCCTTCGCTCGAGCGAGGATTCTTTCGCTCGAGCAAGTAAGGGTCGACAAGTAACTTCGAATGCATTTTTTCATTTTGCTTCGGGGGCGCTGCCCCTCGACCCCGCCTAGGCGCTGCCCCCTATACCCCCGCGAGTTGACCGGGCAGCTCGATCCTTGTCATAGTTAGCGAAGTGACAATCTTGAAAGAATTAACATCACAAACTTCTCTTCAAGGCACAGTTCGGGTTGGATTCGCATCTAAGTACTCATAACCTTACTGAAATAAAAGGGCGAATAAAAGTACAACTGAAAGGAGTTTTGTTACACGAGATTGCCAAGAATAAAACTTAACATATACGTATAAAAGCTAAGGACAAACATGTTATTTTAATCTAATATAGGAATAAATGTAATTTTTTAAATGCGAAAAAAATATGTATTAAATAGAAACCTTAAGGATGTTTTCGTTTGGTTTTGGGAGATAAATTTTTTTAAAAAAATTTGGAGAAAGAGTTTAGAAATTTTTTTAGTTTGTTTGATTGTATATTTTGGAAATAGTTTTAGTGTATGAGAGTTTGGAATGATTTGATATTTTGTTGTAGTTGAAAAGATGTATGTGAGAAAAAAAAATAATTGAGAAAGAGAGAGGAGTAAGAAAAAGTGATTGATTGATATATAAAAGACATAAAGTGATTTTGAATTTTTTTTTTCAGAATCATTAAACCAAATAAAATAATTTTTTTTTTTTCTAAAATTTATTTCTCAAAAGTAACTTGCCTAAGCGTGTCCGTGTATCCCTTTGATATTTTGGAGGGTGTAGAAAGTAGGGGCTGGTAAAAGAGGAAAGCTATCAGCTATCTGTTTCTTCTCATATACGCATCATTGTTTCTTCTTGTGATGTTTGAGATGATTTAAATAAATATATATTTTAATTTTTTAAAAAAAATTATGTAAAAAAATAGAGAATTAATATAACACAAAAAATATAAAAAGAGAATATAAAAGAATATAAGGCGAATTACAATAACAGTCCCTACAGTTTAAAATTTGTATTACTTTGATCCTTGATTGTCAATTGTGATATATTTGATCTTGAATTTTGAATCTCGTTCTAAATAAGGATAATTGAAGATATTGTTACTCGATTTTGAAAACACAGTCGTCAATTTGATAAAATATAAATTAGCCCCGGTTTAACATTTCAAGTGGGGCCAAATAATCACATATGGACAAAAAAAAAAAAAAAAAACTAAACAAATCATAAAAAATGGCCCCCAAAAACACTTTTGAGTTAGGATGGCAAAGATTACCAAACCTGACCTATCATCAAACAAAAGATGCAACCGAAAAAAAATCATTTCTACAGTGGAGGGCAATTTTGTCATTTTAATACCGACAAACGCCAAACAAGGAAAACGAAACAAACAAAAAAAGTTCCTCGCGCTAAAAAAAGACAAAAAAGATAAAAAAACTAACTAAAAAAGTCATTGCCGACGAACCCTTAGTTTGAACAAAAATAATGTCAAAAAGTTTTTTTGAATTTTGAAAATTATTTCTACCCACCAAAGAAAAAATTGTATAAAAATGATAAATCTTTTACATTTATTTTTTTACGAAATTAATTTTTAGTATGTGTTTGGATGATGATCATATGGGTGTTTGGGAACTTGATTTTTGAGTTTTTTTTTTTTTTTCACTACAAGACAAAATGTTTACAAAATAAAAAAAAAACCAAATCCAAACAAAATAGCACATCAAACCTCATAATCATTTCACTTTTTCTCTCACAAAACATTAACATCCAACACAAAAAAACCCAACTATCTTCTCAAACACAAAATTTTTTTCTCCAATAATATCCTACAATTAAAAAAACTACAAAAAAATCCACTTCTCAAACACCTACATAATGAGTGGTTGTTTTTTGTTGATATTTTCGAATGATTATCATTAATAGATAGTTGTATTTAGGGGTCGTTTGGCAATAAATATTTTAGTTGGCCTTTTGATTTTTTTGACTTTTTTAGGCTGAGACTGTTTTGTTGTTCGGTTTTCTTGTTTGACTTTTTTTGGCTTTGAAATGACAAACTTTTTTTTTCTTTTTATGATTTTTGACTTTTGACTTTTTTTTTTCTTTGTCATTTTGTGATTTTTTTAGCCTAGAAGGAAAACCAAGCCCGAGCTTATTGTTAACAGATATTTTTGAATGGTATCATGTAATGGATGATTATTAGGCTTTTAATGTGTAATTGATATGTTTAATATATGAAATATTTTTAGTTTTGAATTTTTTGATTTAATAAATTGGTTTAATAATGACATCGAAGTTATTGTCATGTTTGACACTTGAAAAATATGAAATTAATCTAACGAAAAATAATAAAAAAAGAAAATTATTTTCATCCTCCTAAAAGATAAAATTATATAAAAAGTGATATGTTTTTAATTTTTTTTCACCAATTTAAATTTTAGTTTCTTAGATTTTTTTTTCCTGAAAATAGATTCTAAAAACCAACCAAATAGAACTTTATAGTAAAGAAAGTTCTAACATTATTCATTAAAAAAAAGGAGACTTATTTATAAGTCCTATTTCAGAACACTCTATGCTATGTATAAGTCTTGTTGTAATTTTTATAGAGTCTCAAAATCCTA